CGTAAATTGTGCAAAAGCTACATTTGCATTTCAAAGGAAGACTCTTTGAGCCAGAACAGCCATTGATGTTATGGACTGGCTGGATGCAGAGGAGAGGTGGGAGACAGCAGCTGGAGAACCCCCAAGGGAGGAAGGTTCAGAGTCAGGGGACTGGTGGTGGGATGACCATGAGCAGGGAGAAGAGGGAGCAGACTGGGAGGAGGAGGAGTCACAACCTGAAGAAGTAACAGGGCTTAGTGAGCAGAAAGAGGGCAGTCCAAAATTAGAGGCTGCTGAAGAAGCCAGGGAGTCTCCCCTTCCTGCTGTGAATAGCTGCGTTCCTCCCTGGGCTCCCAGAGCATGGAGAGTGATGAAGAGGGTGGAGCAAAGAGAGATAAGGTGAAGGAGCTTCAGGTTGCTGGGGAAGGACCCAGGAGAGGAGCCTTAGAGAGTGGTGGGAAGATGGGGACCTTCACTGGGACAAGACCCACTGGGAAGAGTTGCTGTGATCACCAGGCCTGCACTGTTTTGGTTTCTTTGAATAAAGAGCTAATTTCACTGACACCAGGTGTTTTATCGCTGGCAGTCACCAACCTGGTGCCCCCCAGATGTTTTGAACTAATCAGCCTTGGCCAGCAAGGCCATGCTGGCTGGGGCTGATGGGAAATGTAGTTTAATGCATCAAGAGGGCACTAGGTTTGCAAAGGCAAGGCTAGAGCTTCCCTTGAAATTCAAATTAAGAGATGCTTTTTGTTGGGAGAGTGTCAGGGAGAGATAGAATTAAAGTCCTTCTCCCCACACCCAGAAGATGGAGGCTGATCAGGCTTCCCCCAAGCTCTTGTTTACATCATTTTTTAAAAATGTTCACTTTAATTGCATGATGCAGCCATGCAAGTGACGTCACAGCTAGATTGGTCCTCAATCTCAAAAAGAATCGGTTCTTGTTTGTTTTCTCTGTCACATTATTCCCAAGCAGTATTCCAGACCAAACAGATAACCACAGGAGTACTTGAGAGAAAGGTTGAAAATCAGCAGGGTTGTGTGTGGAAACTTGGATCCATTTGTTGTTGTGTTTTATAATCCTGGAAGAGAAATTAATACATGGTGGTGGTTGTTTTAAAGAAGTTTCTTGTGACCAATTTTAGATTAGCCTGCCACATCAAGCGGCTTCGCTTTGGAGCCGTTATTAAGTCATTTTGCGCTACCAGTTTTTCATTCCAAGTAGCATGGAAGAAGATATAAATGTATTCACTAATTAGGCCTGCCTTAATGTAGTACAGATGAATCAGTTGTTGTGAGAGGGGTTGCTTGATGGACAACAGTGTTAAATGAGCCAGCATGATTCACTCACCAATAATATCCCCCCCTTTAAAAAAATGGGGGGAGGATATTGCTATTAAAGTGTCAAGTATATTAACAAATTTTAGGAGAGTTAAATTTACACTCGGTACATTAACTATCAATTCCAGCTGGCACTATTAATATCTCATTTTCATAATATGATTCTGTAAAGCTCTTTAAAAAGGAAAGAGATGTTATATATTTATTTTTCCCTGTGGTTTTTGTGCAAACCATTGCTTTCTCCTCCATCTAAGTCAAATTTCCCAATGCCCAAGATGTACTATTTTTAAAATAATAATAATAATAATAATAATAATAATAATAATAATAATAATAATATTGGAAGAACCTTTTACCCTTATATATCAGGGATGGTGGGGAGGAGAGAGAAATTGCAAGGAGGCACGTGCAGAGCAATAACTTAGAAACACTGTGGGAACTCTCCTTGTTAATTTGCTCCGGTGCATCTCTGCATTGGGTCCCATGATTGGATCATTCAATCTTCCCAATGCAGAAAGCCACAAAAATTACTTGCCTTCACGGAAGGTTGATTGGAAGGCAATCTGGTGAGCCTTGCCTTTGATTACTCAATTTATTTGTTTTCTCATAGTGCCCTGATGGTTCTCTCCAGTCTCACTAGTACACACTCTGGCACACAGCTTGGGAATGATCAAATCTAACTCCTCAATCTGTCTTTGCCTAGTTCTGAGCCTAACTCAGAACTAGGAATGGGTGAATCATTTCAGTTTTCCTTCAGTTTTTAATATTAAGTTCCATTCTCCACATTTTCCATAACAGTTTATGTGGTTTTTAAATAACCTTTATACAAATTCACTAGTATCTTAGTATAAATTTCTCCATATACACAACATCTACACATTTTTGCAAAGCAACTTTCCTCATTATTCATTTTTGTATGCCATTCTTACCGATATATGCCTTTTATGCTCAATTTACCCTAGTATCTGCATTTTTGTACTCATTAGCTGGTTGGAGAACTGCATTGCAAAATCCAGATAAACACAAATTTTGAAGTACGGCTGAGTTCACATATTGTTTCAAAAAGTGCAAATTGGGTAGGTTTGTTGTTACGGTAAATGTGATCTGAATCACATTTTCCCCTCCATCCCTATTCAGAACTTAGATTATGGGTGCATCATGTTACATTAAGCATTAGCGAAAGCTGAGAAAACTCTCTGCAGATTTTCATCTTTCAGGTAGCCTTGATTTTAAAAGTTGCAAGGATTCACTAGCTTAAAACAACACTTAGGTAAAAATAGAACTACAATAGCGCAGAGCAGGGGAAAAAACCCAGCCTGCTAACATTTTTTTCAGCAAACCCCTGATTCTTCTTTTCATCAGTGTAGTGTCCTGGAGAGTGTTTGTGTTGTGTGTATGTGAGAGGGGTGTGTGTGACAAATACTATTAATTTGTAACCAATTTGATACAGAATGGTAGTTATGGTAGAGCATCAGGGAAGTTAGGCATTCATGTTCATCCCCAGAATTTAACGTTATTTTCTCATGTCATGAGTTTGAGGTTCAATCCCCCTTTGGGGAAGGGGAATTCTGGCAGGAGAGAGCTAATTTTGTTTCAGAATTCTCAAAAAGATGATTGAAGAGAAAACAGCACCAACCAGCATTTATAACTGCCAGCATCAGCACCTATCTACCTTGCATATTGTTAAGATTAAATAATAGAAAACATAAAATGGGACTGCCCATTTGGTAAAATGAGTCTTCAAACCCCTTCACTGAGGTGACACACATATTTAGATAAGTTTCAACAAATCTTGTATACCCATCATATGCCCTTCTCAATTGTGGGCACACTGCGGAGATCCCCACTTATGCAAAGGCTCACAGGAAGCTGCCTTATACCGAGTCAGACATCACTCTATCTACCTCAGTGTTGTCTGCACTGACTGGAAGTGGCAACCCACAGTTTCAGGCAGCAGTCTTTCCCAGACCTACCTGGAGATGCCAGGGTTTGAACCCGGGAACTTCTGAACGCAAGGCAGATGCCCTGCCACTAAGCCACAGTCCTCTCTGTTGCATACCATTGCTTAGAGATAGCAAACTCTATACACAGACTTCTGCATCCATTTGCCACAGAAGTCATGGCAAGCATTGAAAAGAGGGAGGTGTATGCTTCTCTTCTCCAGGTCAGGGGAATAACAATCACAACCAAACCAATCTCATTCTTCCAAACCCCTTTTCTCCCTGCAATGTCTGCTCATCCAACAGAATTTAAGGCACTTCTGAATTCAGTAAAAATATTCTAGCCCTGCGATGAGGGAAGATCTGGGCCAGCCTACCTTGCAGGGCTGTTGTAAGAGTTACTGAGTGCTACAAAGTGCAGCAAAGACTCCACAGTGTGACATAAAACACAAAGTGTTAGCATGACATTTTTCACTGTCCTCATCTTCCATAATTGGAATCTCTCAAAGCTCCCCAGCTTAATTACTTTGTATTGTGTTTGTATGTGTGAAATTCAGAGAGCAATTGCCAAATCTAAAGCAACTCCTATGCCAACCTGCCCCTCTTTGAGGGGGGGGGAATGGCTTCCTGTGCCCATTAACTGGAGTGGGCTGCACTGCCTTTCCCCTGGGCTGCTTTTAAGGGGAATTTATTCTCTTGGGAAAGCTATGCCAGGAGAACAACCAAGCCCGGGTCTCTTACTGGGACCCTGCAAGAGTCGTCTGCCCTGCCCTTCCAGGGAGAGATCCCACGGCACAGCCCTGCCTAAATGAGGGCAGCCTTGAAAGCGCTTCCTCTGGGGTTGCTAACTTCCCCCCTCTTGACAGAGATCCTCTGCTTTTAACAGCTGCCTGGAAGGCAAAAACACTTATTAGGAAAGGCTCCCACCCCACGGAGAAGATGAAAGCGATGCTTTCCTTTGCGAAATCCCAGCCTGGAGCCCTCCTGGAGATGGGGAAAGTTGGCTACCCTTCAGTGGCGCAGGGAAAGCAGTCTGCACTAGCTCAGGGGACACCTGTTCAGGACTTCGGTCTATCCCACCTGGAAGCCTTTGCTCTAAGAAGAACCGAATAAAACCCCTTCTTGACTTAAATCTTGATGCGCACCCACCCCCCCCACACACAATTCAGGTTTCCTCCAGAGTCAGACCCAAAACTGCCTTCCCTCCCCCATATAGTTTGGAGTGGGGAGGGATATACCCATTTTAAACCCAATGAGACAAAAATACCACCTGCTAGGGAATTCAGCCGGGGGCGAATCAGCGGGGGGGGGGGACCACTCCCTCATTGGCTAGCAGAGAAGTCACAGCCCTCCTTTGCCGTTTGCCCCGCGCCAAAAAACCAGGGGAAAATGAAAAGAAATGATTTGGGCTTTTGCAAAGGTAGACTGCGCCCGCACCTGGAGGTTCTACTAGAGCCTCGCGCAAGAGTAGCGAAGGGGACGCCCTTCGCCAGGTCACTTGCGAGCCTCCAGCCTCGCGTGCTGCAAGGCGCCTGGCCACATAAAGAAGACCAGGGCGCCTTTCAGTAGAAATCGATCTCTTTTTCTCTGGCAGGTGAAGAGGGGGAGAAAAGGTCCAGGTTTGTTGGGCGAGTTCGAGGGCGAGGGCGCTTCTTCCCCCGCTTGCCTGCCTGCCTGGTCTCCCGCCACCCGCCCGCCCGGGTCTGGGCTGCAGCTCTCGGCTCCGAGAAGGGAACTCACATCCAGGATCACGGAAGCGCCTTTCCGCTGCTCGGGGAAGCAGCCGTCCTGCCCGGCGGCCGCCTGGCCTTCCTGCAGGAGCTCCCGGTCGGGCAGGATGCTCTTGTCGCTCATCTTGGTGACTATCCAGCGGAGCAGCCCGTCCAGCCCCCCGATCTGCGGCTGCTGTTTGCGGAGGAGCTTGTGGACGCTCTCCCGGCAGTAGCGCGCTGCCTGCTCACACATCTTTTACAGGAGCCTTCATGCTGGAGCCGGGGGTATTCCCTCCCACACAGGCTACATCACCCCGCCGACGGCGGCTCCCGGGCGAGGAGCGGGCAGGCGAAACCCCACCCCCGTCTGCCACACTCCCCGGAGGAGGGACGAGGGAAGGGGGTCGCCAGATCTCACCCCACCCCCCGCCTAAGGATGGGGGCTGCCTGCAAGGGGTGCATCGGGGAAGGAGGTGGAGGAGGTGGCTGGGAGGAAGACGCTTCCTCAAGCACATTTCTCCCAGCTCAATTTATCTTGCAGATGTTGTTCTTATGCAGATATACATATACATATACATATACATATACATATACATATACATATACATATACATATACATATACATATACATATACATATACATATACATATACATATACGAAATCAGCCCTGAGTGCTCACTGGAAGGACAGATCGTGAAGCTGAGGCTCCAATACTTTGACCACCTCATGAGAAGAGAAGACTCCCTGGAGAAGACACTGATGCTGGGAAAGATGGAGGGCACAAGGAGAAGGGAGCGACAGAGGACGAGATAGTTGGATAGTGTTTTCGAGGTTACCAGCATGAGTTTGACCAAACTGCGGGAGGTAGTGGAGGACAGAGGTGCCTGGCGTGCTCTGGTCCATGGGGTCACGAAGAGTCGGACACAACTAAACGACTAAACAACAACATACATATACATATACATATACATATACATATACATATACATATACATATACATACATATACATATACATATACATATACATATACATATACATATACATATACATATATTCTGGAAGTTACAGAATACATAGCCAGGGGCCTTGTGATCCTGTCAGGTCATCTTCCCCAACCTGGTGCCCTCCAGCTGTTTTGGACGGCAACTCCCACCCAGCAAGGATTATGGGAGTTGTAGTCCAAAACACCTGGAGGGCACCAGGTTGGGGGCACACCACACTAAATATTCTCCCTTTTTCTTTCAGCAGAAGCTCAAGATGTGGCAAACGGTGCCAGCTGCTAAAGATACAGACTTTGAACTGAAGAACAGGCACATCCTGAGACTAGGAATTTGTTTCCATTTCCCAGAACTGAGCTCACTAGTTCTTTCACACAAAAGTCCAGCCCTTTCTTCATTTCAGCAGCCTAACTTGAGTGAAACAAGTACTTCTGTTAGTGCCGTTGTTAAACTGGCAATCACAAACTTTTGCCAAACTACTGCAGACCACCCAGAGATCTACTGGTACAGGAGGGGATAATGTGGTACCCTCCAATTGTTGTCGGACTATGATTCCTATCAGTCCCAACCCAGGAACTGTGATCCTAAGAGCAAGTAGCTTTGTACATAGGAAAACATTTCCATTCATCATGGAGAACTTTGATCAGGCTTCCTCAAACTCAGCCCTCCAGATGAACATCAACAGAGCCCTACAAACCTTGACCCATGTCTCAGTGGCCATTGCATATGCAGTCACCAGCAGTCTTGCAACTCAGGGATACCTTGTATATACCTTACACTTATTGAATTAGCATTTAGGCTGTTTTGATTACTGCACATGGGCAATCGATGAGGAGCCAGGGATTTTGTTCTTAAAGTCCCTTGGTGGCTGGGCATCTCTCTCAAGCCTTTAGAATGCAAGACTCATCAGCCTTTGAGACACAGTCTGGCTAGTGAGGGAGTGTAGTTTGGAGCCAGGTTTGCTGTTTGGATTTGGACTTGTCCAAAAGGAGGAAGCTCACTTCACAAGCTAGGGAGAGTCCCAGCTGGGGTGGGACAAGCTGCTACACAGAGAATAATAGATAGATGTTTGCAGCATAAATAGGTCTGAGGAATTGTCCCAGGAAAAGAAGATTGTGGCAATACGTCATGTGTGACAAATTGAATCATACAATATTTTGCAGTTGCATGTTCTGCACAGATACAGTGGTACCTCGTGTTACATACGTTTCAGGTTACATACACTTCAGGTTACAGACTCCGCTAACCCAGAAATAGTACCTCGGGTTAAGAACTTTGCTTCAGGATGAGAACAGAAATCGTGCTCCGGCCGCAAGGCAGCAGCAGGAGGCCCCATTAGCTAAAGTGGTGCTTCAGGTTAAGAACAGTTTCAGGTTAAGAACGGACCTCCGGAACGAATTAAGTACTTAAGCCGAGGTACCACTGTAGTAAGGACTTTTCATCCAATTTCAGACCCAGCTGTTCCAGAACCAGCTCACTAGCCCTCCTAGGGGCCAATCACTCACTCACACTCTCTCTGCCTAACCTACCTCACAGGGTCGCTGTGAGGATAAACATGAAGGACTAGGTGCACTGCCTTCAGCTCCTTTGAGAAAATATACGGTATAAATATACATCATGAAGAGGTTGGTGGTGATAATGATGCAAGCAGTTGACCACCATTGACTTATACTGCCCTACTGAAATCACCCATTGAAACCCAAGGCTAAGTAAAGATTCTTGTCTAGTATCTTTTGAGCAGAGCAAAAATCTGGAGTGTTGACAACTCCCCGTGTCTGGTAAAGAAGGCCACTTTTCATCTCCCTTTGGAATAATATTTCCCTCCCCTTTCCAACACTCAGCTGGATGCTTTAACTAATTAAAGGCTTCCAGCAGGCAGAAGCATCCATTCCCTTTGGAGCCAAATGTCAGAGACGACTTGCTCATATTTGCTAATGACTGACAAACTGTGGAGAGTTCCAAGTGCTTAGCATCCAAAGGGCGTCATAAGAGTGCACACACATCACAGATGAAGACCCATTGGTCCAACTAGCTTGATAAGGTCTACTGTGACAGGGAACAGCTCTCCAGAGCTTAGGACCAATCTAGATGAGACGGTTAGCAGTCATGCTCACTATTCACCTGTCTCCCCCAGGGTTGGTGCCATCCGTACAGAGCTGTTTGTACCTGTCTGTAGCAGGCACCCATAGGGCAAGGTATAGGAACATATGAAGATGCCTTATACTGATCAAGTTAGTTCCCTTTGGAATATAGATTGATTTACTTCCTTGAGTATCCCTAATTGGGAGGTGCTGCTGATTTTGTTTTATCCAGAAGAACCTCTGTTTTTCATCATTCTTACATAATACATGGCCTGTAATCAATACTCAATGTGACAGTTGTCATTTCTCAATTATGTTTTTCCTTGTAATAGTTTTTGAACCCCTGCCATCCATTTCTGTTGCTCCATTTGCTATTCCAGGTTTCTCCCAAAATATGTGCAGAATGTACTTTCAATGCACAGCCTTCAACTGGCATGCTTTACAGGATTTACTAGAAGTCTGGATTCACTTTAAACAGAAGCTTGCAACCAGAATTTAATAGATTATTCAAATGATGTAGAGTGTTTCCAATATTTCATGCAGCAAGTGTCAACAAAATCAATCCTTTAAATGGAACTTTTGCAGTTTGTCTAATTTTTTTTTAATTTTTTTTTGCTATAAATGTATGCATTATGATTTTAATAGCTATAAACATTTCCCCCATTTCCTGGTGAAAATGGACATATTTATTGTCAAGTAGATTGCTTTCTCTATTTCACATGCACAGCCACATTTCTCTCTATATAATTTGGACTGGTATGTCATCACGCTGTGATGACAGTCTGAGCCACAAGGGGGCACAAATACCACATGGATTGAGCTGGGACTTCAAAGATTTCAAGAATCCACCTCAGGAGGTGGTAAATGGGATTGGAAGGCACTGTCATAACCTCTCCCTCTTTCTCCCTGGTACCAAGGGAGGCTTTTTCTGGCAGGTGTGTGCCTTTTGCACATGCACACAGAGAGAGAGAGAATTGGGGGGAAGGGAAGAGAGATAATAGAGTTTTAGTTGGAAGGGATCCTAAATGTCATCTAGTCCAACCCCCTGCAATGCAGGAATCTCAGCTAAAGCATCCATGACAGATGCCCACCCAACCTCTGCTTAAAAACATCCAATGATTCAATGAATTCGAATCCATTGGTTCAGGTCCTACCCTCCTGAGCAGTAGAAAACATGTGTCTTCCATCTTCTGTGAGAAGGCCCTTCAGATATTTGAAGATGGTTCTCATATCTCCTCTCAGTTAAAGGAATGCAGGAAACTGCCTTATATGGTGGGAGGCAGTCCTATTCTGAATACCAGTTGCTGGAAACTGCAGGAAGGGACTCTTACACTTGGAACCTGTTTGAAGGTTTCCCACAGACATCCAGTGAATGAGAACAGCAGCATCCTGGATTGGCCAGATCCAGCAGGCTCTTCTTATGCTTTAAGAATTTAAAGCATAAGATTTAAGGTGCTGGTTTTGACCTTTAAAGCCCTTCACAGCCTAGGACCCTCGTACCTACGGGACCGCCTCTCCCGGTGTGCCCCACGGAGAGCCTCAAGGTCCATAAATAGCAACACCCTAGTGGTCCCAGGCCCTAAGGAAGTTAGATTAGCTTCAACCAGAACCAGGGCCTTTTCAACTCTGGCTCCGGCCTGGTGGCACGTTCTGCCTCATGAGACCAGGGCCCTGCAGGATCTGATTTCTTTCCGCAGGACCTGTAAGACAGAGCTGTTCCACCTGGCCTTTGGCTTGGAGCCAATTTGATTCCCTCCCCCTCCCCCTCTTTCTTCTTTCTTTTTCCTTTCTCCTCCTGTGATGAGGCTGCATTTTAATATTTTAATGTTTCAATATTTTAATGTTGTATTTTGATCTTGTTTTTAAGTTGTATTCATTCAACTTGTTTTTATTATTGTTCGTTAGCTGCCCTGAGCCCAGCCTTGGCTGGGGAGGGTGGGGTATAAATAAAAATTATTATTATTATTATTATTATTATTATTATTATTATTATTATTATTTAATACCAAGCCAGACCATTGGTCCATCTAGCGCAGTATTGTTGACACTGCCTGGCAGTGGCTCTCTTGCATTCCAGGCAGGTGTTCTCCCCAACCATACCTGAAGATGCTGGGTCTTGAACCTGGGGCCTTTTGTGTGCTACGCACATGCTCTGCGGCTGACATAATCTCTTACTCTATAGATGAAGCAAGATTCTAGCACTTGCATTTCTCAATAAAGGGCTGGTTTGAAAAGGAACACAAGAAGAGGCCTTCTGCTGAGTCAGACCATTGAGCCACCTACCTCGGTTTTGTCCACAGTGTCTGGCAACAGTTTTCC